TCTCTCTCTCTCTCTCGCTCATTCTCTTTAAGTTTCTCTTTCTCTGCCTTTTGCTCTGCAGAGCGCGCCCTGAGGGCGCCTTTCTGGGGCGTATTTCAGAGCGCGCGCGAGCGCGCCGTCCGTAGCGCGCGCTCGCCCTGCTCTCTTTCCTCCTCTCTCTCTCTCTCTCTCTCTCTCTCTCTCTCTTTCTGCCTTTCTGAAGCGTATTTCAGAGCGCGCGCGAGCGTGCCGTCCATAGCACACGAGCGCGCGCCCTGCTCTCTTTTTTCTCTCTCTCTCTCTCTCTCTCTCTCTCTCTGTCTCTCTCTTTCTCTTTAAAATTTCACTTTCTCTGTCTTTCTCTCTGCACGCGCGCCTTTCTGGAGCATATTTCAAGGCGCGCGCGCGCGCGCTCGCCCTGCTCTCTTTCCTGCTCTCTCTCTCCATATCTCTCTCTCTCTCTCTCTCTCTGTCTCGCTCATTCTCTTTAAGTGTTTCTTTCTCTGTCTTTCTCTCTGGGCAGCGCGCTCTGAGCGCGGCTTTCTGGAGAGTGACACGCCGTCCATAGCACGCGCAGCGTGAGCTCTCTTTCTTTCTTTCTTTCTTTCTTTCTTTCTGTCTCTCTCTCTCTCTCTTCTTTAAGTTTCTCTTTCTCTGTCTTTCTCTCTGCAGAGCGCGCCCTAAGCGCGCCTTGCTGGAGCGTATGTCTGCTCTCTTTCCTTCTCTCTCTCTCTCTCTCTCTCTCTCCCTCTCTCCCTCTCTCCCTCTCTCCTCTCTGTCTGTCTGTCTGTCTGTCTTTCTTTCTTTCTTTCTTTCTTTCTTTCTTTCTTTGTGTCTGTCTGTCTGTCTGTCTGTGTCTGTGTCTGTCTCTGTCTCTGTCTCTGTCTCTGTCACTGTCTGTCTCTGTCTCTGTCTGTCTCTGTCTCTGTCGGTCTCTGTCTCTGTCTGCGAGCCACAGAGCCCAGCCACAGAGCCCACGCAGCCCCGCAGAGTTGACAGAGTTCAGGGGCGCGGCCAAGAGAAGAACAACAGGAGCAAGGCCTGGACACAGAGCCCGGCGCGCCAAGAGGACAAGAGGAGGACGAGAGGAGGACAGGGCCTGGAACAAGAGGAGGACAAGGCCCAGCCACAGAGCCCAGCCACAGAGTTGACAGAGTTCAGGGGCGCGGCCAAGAGGAGGACAAGAGGAGGACAAGGCCCGGCCACAGAGTTGACAGAGTTCAGGGGCGCGGCCAGGACCCAGCCACAGAGTTGACAGAGTTCAGGGGCGCGGCCAGAGGAGGACAAGAGGAGGACAAGGCCCGGCCACAGAGCCCAGCCACAGAGTTGACAGAGTTCAGGGGCGCGGAAAAGAGGAGGACAAGGCCCAGCCACAGAGCCCAGCCACAGAGTTGACAGAGTTCAGGGGCGCGGCCAAGAGGAGGACAAGAGGAGGACAAGGCCCAGCCACAGAACCCAGCCACAGAGTTGACAGAGTTCAGGGGCGCGGCCAAGAGGAGGACAAGAGGAGGACAAGGCCCAGCCACCAGAGCCCAGCCACAGAGTTCAAGGGCGCGGCCAGTGAGTGTGGCCAGCTCTTTTCTTTCTAAGATAGAACCCCAACAGTAAACTGTTTGGGGAAATATCATGAATTTCCATTAATTACATCCAAGAAGCCCAAGACTGGCTGGTACCGCGGCCAGATACTGTGCAAACAGGTGGTGGACAAATGCGATTCACCATTCACCGAATTGAACTTATGCTCCTCCGATGTTCGACTGCGCTGGTAGATGTCTAGCAACAGGCGCCCACTGCCCCATGCGTTGACATCTGGTGTCTATGATTGTGGCACTGCATTCAATTGTTCTCGGTCCAGAGCTGGTCCTTTGTTTGCCGCACTGGTGGCCCTGCGGTCGTTCCGCATGGCAAGAAACCTGGTCGCCCTCAAACAAAAAACTTTGCCAATCTCCCCAATAGCCCTGTCAATGCCCACACATTGAACCTTACATTGGGATGCGATTCGCTTGTCCAAAGTTGGCAACCATTTCCAAAGCCTCCTCCAATCGGAGCAGGGCCTAGGTCCCTTTCAAACCGGCCTGCGGTCCCATACATTCCATTCTGAACTCGATGCCAAAGATCTCGTGGTCGGCCTCAGCTCGGGTTGACCATGTGCTTCATCGTTGACCTCCTTCCAGTTGATTTCCTCGATTCCCTAAGTCTTTGTCCTTGACTTTTTTGTTGACCCTTCTCATCGGGACACTCTCTATGCCTTGCTTGGAAATCGCACATCGATTGTTTTGCTTTAATTGGTCGATCAAGTTTGCTTTTCCCGAATTTGCCCTTTTCCATTGCTGATCCATTCCAACGGTACCATATCTCTGGGCAAGTTTTTTTTTGCCTTCTTGATCTGCATGCTAGCGTTCATCCAAGGCGTCCTCGCCCTCTGGTTCACCTTTCCAAGTGCAGAACCGTCTTCTCCACATAGTTCTTTGAGCGCCGCCTGCAAGATCTCATTCTGATCGAAAACCTCAGGGTACTGATTAAACAAACGGCACACCGGCTATTGGTTTCCATGCTCAAGGCTAACTTCTTTATTGTCACGCTTCATTCCGTGTTCACTCTTTCATACCCTCGGTAGCTATGCTTCCTCTTGTGAAGTTCAAGAGATTCTTGATCTCCTGCTCGCCCAGTGCCAAGGCATTGATCAGCCAGGAGCACTTGTAGACTGCGCCGGAAGGAGGTCCTCGTCCTTGTCCTCCCCAAGGTTCTCCAGTAAGTCCATCGCCCTCTAGCCAGCCTGCTGGCTTTGCAACCAGCTTATGTCTTTAGCCCAGCGCTTAAAGCTGGACCCGTTCTGAGGGCTGTGTACGGGAGCCACTGCTTCTCCAGTAACCTTGAGAACAAAAAGACTGTTGTGGCACCAGCGCCGTGGTATAGTACTTGTAAATACTTGTAAGAAGATTCCCAGGGTTGTTCCCAGTACGGAGTATATAATTCGGACAATCGTCTGCTGTGGGTTCGAGTGTTGTGGGCGTGGTTTTCGATCCTGAGTGTATTGGAAGGAACCAATGAAGATGTTGATTCAGAAGACTTGTGATCGATTGCAAGGCAGCATATCATCTCCTCACCAGAACGGCTCTGCCACAATGCCCACAACACGGAACCGAACCACTGTAGAATGTCTCCTAGTGAGAGACTACGAGACAATGCAATAGTCAGATGGGTGAATTCTCAAGCAATGACAAAGAGAATGGATAGTAATTAGCGTGCTTAGAGAATGTCTTCGGACGGGTTATGTTTTACAAGAAGAGCACACTTTAAAAACAAGACACCTCAAGAGAACGATTGAAATAGATCAAACAGCACAGACCTCTGAAGATGCCATGATAGTGGACCAACCTGGCGCATATGACCATGCAACTGATTTTTGCAAGCGATGAAACAGCTTGATCACTTGATCACGTGGCGCACGTGAACCCAGATATCCGCTGTTCACACCTGTTGGGCTCGTTGTTCTGTAGACCTGAGAGAACTCGAAGTTTACAGGGATACTGTTCAACATGGGGCTACAGGTGAAAGGATTTTCGGGATAAGAACCTTTGTTGCACATCGAAGATAACGGACTGGCAAAACAATCTGAATAGAAAGTTTGAGGCGTGCGAAGCTCGCAAACTCGACCGACTGTCTCAGGAGATGTCTCGCCTGTCTCGCGTGGTTCAACCCATCGCTCAAAACAGGCAAGCCCCCCTCACTTCCTCAGGGGTGCCCTTCACCTCCAAAATGCCCCTAAACCAGGACGAAAAAGGGCACCCCCCCAAACCTATATATTCTACTTTCTATTTCTACCCCCTATCGGCGTTGCTGCGATGTCGATGTCAACTTCACCCCACAAAGGTACTCTTTGCCCGATGTTAGCCAATCACTTGATTTTGAACGCCAAGTCTCTGAGTCCATCTACAGGACATGAACAACAAACAACAGGCAAGCGACCCTGAGTTCCTTACGATGCCCTTTTTCAGCTTCAAAACGCCCTTGAATCAAGCGAAAAGGGGGCACCCCTCCTAACCCACGCATTCTGCTTTCTATTTCCAACAGCAGTAGCATCACTGCTGTGTCGACATCCCCCCATAACCAACAATCTCTCCTCCGGTCCTCGCGCGATCTCAGCAATAAACTTTTCTCGCGCACCAACGTTGTGAGTCTATCTGCTACATCACTACCCCCTTGCGGCGCTTCACCCCCCAGAGGTTCAAATTTGTAACTTACAATTTAGTACGTGCTTGGAACCTGTGGAAAGCAGGTTATGTTTCAGGAGTACATTTCACTAGCCAAAATGCTATGCCATTTTGGCTCAAGCCTGCGAACTCAAAGTGAAAAGCCTCCTGTAATCCCTCTCTCTACTTTTCGACTGCCATGTCCACCTCCGGCTCTGGACTGTTCGATTGGGACCTTATGGATGAGGCCCCCTCGATGACCCCCTTCACCCTGGATGCGACTGAGGCGGAGGAACGAGAGAAAGAGATGGGACGTCTTGAGGAGACGATTTTGGAAGGGGCTGGCCGCACTGCTGATGCATTGGCGGGCTCTTCCAGCGATTCCTTGGCTCCGGAGACCCAGGACGATTCGCGCTATGTCAACTGTGAACTTCTCACGCAGCAGGAAGCCCTCCAGGCCAAGATCCAGGAGATGGATGCTGCCTTGGCTCAGCTTCAGGTATCCCCTCTTGCTCATACTCTTGACATTGACCTTGGGGATCAGTTTGGCCGCCTTGCGAATCTCGGGTGGAACACCGTGGTCATCTGGTTGGGCTCCCGGTCCATCGCCCACTATGGGCGGTTGTTGGTGTGATGGGCCGCTTGAAGACTGTTTCCCTCAGGGCAAGACGCTGCTGGGGGCAGGAGGTCAGCCGCGGACTTGCAGATCGGGCACTTTCCACTCTTCGGCAGAAGACCTCACAGTCAATCTGCCCGGGTCCGCTCCAAGAATTCCATGCCACCCTGCCGCTGATTGGCAGTATGGGGCTGTCGCAGCATGGCCACCTGCTGGGCCTGACTCTTGGCCACAAAGAAGGTCTCCAGCACACGCTCCACCAAGGGCGGGGTGATGTCGCCCGTCTTGAAGCCCCCAAGCAAAGAGACCTGATCGTCATGGTCGAGAGGGCGGAGGGAGGCCTTGATTGGAGGGAACCATTGGAAGGCATTGAGGGGGAGGATGGTGTGGGAACCTGGCAAGAAATCCACCGGGGCCCCTTGGAAGTTTCAGAGCCCGTGGCGTCTGCAGACCCAACATCTGGGCTATCCGCGCCGTTGCGCTTGCGAGGTCGAAGAGGACGTTCCGATCCGATCGGGCGCCAGTCGATGGAGGGGTCACCGGGTCGACCTCCATGGGCACAGCAGCAGCCGCCGCAGGTGTAGGGGACCAGCCAATGGATCCAACAAAACACACTGGAGAAGACCACAGCAAAACACCACCTGGTAGCTCTAAAACAGTTGGGGAAAGGTCTCCAACCCTTCCCCATGGGCGTGGCCAACCAAGGACACCAACTGGTCGATTCTGAAGGCCGATGTAACCAAGCAAGGCCCACCGACGGATCAAGATCGATCTGACCGACTGGAAGTACCAGATTGCCCAAATTGACGGGGATTGGTGGGTCAACAAAGTTGGAACCTATGGCATGGCGTCCGCTCAACCCTATTGGGGCGGCAGCACTCCTCCCCCGGATCCTGCGCTACCTTTTTCCCATGGTGGACTGGGCCTTCGTGTTTGTTGAGGCTCCTCCGGTCAACCGTTGGTTGCTCCACTACATACATGCGCCCTCTTGAAGACTCTCAACACCTGGTTGGGTTTCGTTGTCCAACCAGCCGGACCCATAGCCCAAATGGCCAGAAAGAAACACCACAAGGCCCTGGAGATCCTCCACAGCATTGCCGAGAGGGTTGTATTAATATCCAAGGACTTGGATAGTGTCATGGGTAGACTGCAATGGGCTACTTCCACCTGCCCCCTGGCCAAACCATTGCTCCCAGTGTTGGCGAGGAGGGCAGCTATGTGGGCGGTTGGCTCAGTGACAAAGACCCAGTTCTGAAGGAGGATGTTTGGTGGTTTCACCTCCACATGAAGAGATCGAAATTTCCATGGGCCTTTTTGAAGGCCACAGTGAGAAAGGTGTTCGCAATCGGCTCCAGTTCCGGGTACCGCTGATGTCAGACAATCAGGGCAACCTCTTCGCCATGTTGAATCAATCGACTCGGAAGATGCCGACGGCAACCATTTTGATGCAGCTTGTCCTCTCCCTGCACTAAGGAGGGTGCCAGTTGGCCCCTCCCATGTGAAGCGGGACCTCAACACATGGGCCGATGAATTGACTCATCCTCATCCAATGGTTTCAACCCGCGCATCAGCCCCTTTGAGGAGCTACACGCTGATGAATTGGGTGTTTCACGAACTTTAACCGACCACTCCTCCGCATAGGCGCGGGTAGGGACAGGCACCACGCGCCCTGAAATCCCTCGAAGCACGGGATGGCTGAGTGGTCGATCTTCTGCCTCCGTTTTTCACCATTAGTGCACGACACCCATGGACCCGTTTTTCACTCAGGGTGCCCGGTGTCGGCTTTCCTCCATGGCTCATGGTCAACTGGGATCGGTGGCGGTTTTGGGTACCATCCCAGTCTGACACTCTTCTTTTGAACATGCTTTGACCATGGACGGAAAAGCTAACCAAACTGCAAAACGATGCGTTGCCGCTTTTGCTGCGTTGAGTTAGCTTTTGGACTTGATGTTTCCTGAAACTTTTGATTTTACGACAATAGCATTATATAGCCCTATGAAAATTGTTAGATCTAGGGTTGAGGTAGCCTATGTGAGGATGTAACCCTTTTTTTTCCCCGCCCCCCAAAAAGGTCTTTGCCTACTTCTTGAGAGTTGGAAATGAAGGGGGAGGAAGGGTCCAAATTGTAAGAATGGATGGGTGGGTACCTCACAGAGCAAGTTACAATTTCCCCCCCCGTCGGCGTCGGCGTTGCTTTTGTTTTGATGTGCACCCACAAGTCCATATCACAATTACAACCTTCTTCTCCGACTATTGAAGCTCGTAAGAGAAATGTTGAAGCCAGAACATGAAAGGAAAAACATTGCACAAGGTGTAACATAGTGCACCCAGAAAACCATATTACAATAGTTCCCCCCTTTCTGCACTGGTAAGGTCCTCCAATAAAGGTTGAGGCAAGCACCGCACAGGAAAAACACCGCACAATGTGTGTTTAGTGCACCCAAAAGTCCACATAACAATGAGAATTTCCTTCTGCAACTCTTGAATTTCGTAAGAGACATGTTGAAGCCAAAACATGAAAGGAAAAAACACTGCACAGGGTGTACCATAGTGCACCCAGTTATCGCTTCCCGGAAAAAGGCCGTGCGGAATCGTTGTCATCGTGTTTCATTACAGATGGGAAATTGTAAGTTACAATTTTGAGGGTGAGGGTCCATGCTTCTACCTCGCCCTCAAAGATGTAACTTACAATTTCTGAGTGCGTACAGGCTGAACGAACACACACGACGGTCAAAAATGTAACTTACACACGACGGTCAAAATGTAACTTACAATTTTGACCCCTGTCTTGTCAGATGGAGATTTTTTTGACCTGTATGTTCAAATCTCACCGTTTTCCAAAACCTGGATTTTGACACACCCAAAATTGTAAGTTACATTTTTGACCCCCCGGGGGAGTACGGCAGTGGTGATTCTGCTACGCAAAACAAAGCAGCAGCACACCAAAACCCCTCCATTACTTAGGGGTGTCCTTTTTGATCTTCACAACGCCCCTTGAGCAACAAGAGGAGGGGCGCCCCACTCCCCCACCTTTACTGCGACTCTGCGACTCTCCGCCTTTTGCCTTTTATTTCCCCATTCTTGACACTGTTCCAGTGCGCTCTAAACTTCACCCCCCATTGCCATGTTGATGTCTTCTTACAGAGGCTGGCTTTCGTCCCCTTGTCAGGTATATATATATAATTTGTTGCGCGCGTGTGCAAGTTTATATAAGTTTTTTCTGCTCCACGTCTGGCAGGACCACAGACAGAACAAGTGTTGCTACCATACAGGATTAATTTTGCTATCGCCCCCCTGAATGCGCACCAATTCAAGCCAAGGATGAAGCGTGTGCTGCAGCCAACCTTGCTGCGTCGGTTTGTGACGGAGGAGCAGGAGAGGCGCTGTTTCGGAGGTAAGAAGTTTTTGACTTTACATTCGACTTGCCTTTTCATCATTTTTGTTTTTTCACTCAATGGCCGATGCACAGCATCAGACAATGAAGACGCTCTTTCCTGTACTCGTACCCCAGCGAAGCTGATTTTTGGGCCTGAAAACCGTTGATACAAATCATGTCAGCTAAATTGTGGCTTGGTTCAAGTCCAACGCAGGAGTCCATTGCCAAGCAGAAGACTGAACGAAAAACGCACAAGCAGTTCATGCTGATGCACGGCACCCGGTGGGAGACTCTTTTGCATATGCGCTTGGTTTTTGAAAACAGAGATTGTTTCTACAAAGCAGCCTGTTAACCCAGCAGTTCCTTTTGCAGAGAAATTACGATGAAAAGAACATGTGCTGAGTGTGGTTCTGCCCGTGCACATAGCTTTGAAAATGCAGCAAGTGTCCATGGCCGTGGTTAATTTGTTTGCTATGCACTATGTAGAGTAGCATCTTCATGAATTTCACACGCATTTGCATGCGTATTTCGCTTCGCGGTGAGTGCTTTGGATCCCCTCCATAAGTGTTTCTATTGAGTATCCCACAAATGATGGTGCAGCAAAAAATAGGGCGCTCCAACGTCCAAGGACTATGCTCCCTTGATCCTGGAGAACGGGTTGGACCCAACTTGCGGCCATTTGACCAAGGGCACATGGCTGGGAGGCAGGTTGCCAACCCTCTCGCTTTGTAAATTGACCATTCGTCGTTTGCAAGTAGTTCACTTGGGAAAGCTACCACAGTTTCTTGCTTGGGAAAGACGTGTTGAGGAGCTTGGTTTGTTGGTGTGCCTTTGTGGCCTTTAACCAGACTTCATCAAACTGCAGCACCACACAGCCGAATCAGATTCACACATAGGCACAATCTTCTACCCACCAAATTGTCCACCTCCTTGAACTCAGCGGCTCAGCGGTCGCGGTCCAGGTGTATCACTTGGAATTATTGTGAATTATTGATGTGCATGTCATTCTATGCCCAGATTCTGGACTAATTACTGAGCATTTCCAGGCCTGTTTTACTCTATATACTGTATATACATATAGGCTTATAATATTATGTAGTGTATAATATTATAATATATATATATATGTTATATTATATTATATATATATATATGAATAGGTGATTGTCGAGCCCAGGGCCGAGTCACTGCATAGCGCATATAGTACTTTTTTGATCAGCGGCTGGAGGAATTGCAGAGAAGGCGCATTCCTATGCAGCCAAGGGCCCAGGACTGGTTGATCTCATCGATTGTTAGCCACAAGCATGACTGGGGAAGGATCATTGTTCAAGAAACCATTCGTGGTTGAAGCTGAGTTGCCATGACTTCACAGACAAGATGTTTTTGCGTGCTACTTTTGAAGTTTTCCTTTGGACAATATACACAGATTGGGCATGCGGCATGCCTAAGTGTTCAGCTGGCGCTTATTGTCTAATTGCAATGCCTCCCGCCTAACTTGGCTGGCGAGGAGTGTTTGTGGAATCTGTGGAATTCCATTTGATCATGCAGATCATATAGAAAAGAGTCAGGGACATGTCAATCTATTTGCAAACTGCTGGTGGCGCCAAGGGTATTGAGCAGAGGGTGTGGCACAAGCGTGTGGCTCAAGTAGAACAGTTCTGTGGCGGACAGCCAGCACTGCGGGAATTGTGCAAATAGGATAGCTATGAACCCATACGTAGTTTGTTTTGGTCACATTAACTTAATTAAAGCATTCCTCCCTGGGTAATATGTCTTGTGGGAAGTTGGTTCGCTTTTGGAGAACCCAGTAGACTTGCACCCTGCACCTGTTTGCACTCTGTCAAATGCTAAGACTGCTAAGATCCATGATCCGGCTTATTCCTATCTACCTCACACTGTGAAGGTCCGAAGCCGGCAGCTTGGATTGAGGGATGCTGTGATCCAGGCTACGATAAGAGGGGTGTGTGGATACTTAGAAACAGAAGATCTCAAAATATTGCCCCGTAGGGCCTGAAGTAGTGAAGTGTGTTGCCATTGGCAAGCTAATCATCATGGGTTCTTAGATAATGAAGTGCAGAGTGATCGATGGTGGCGAGGACCTGAAGCCAACCAAGATGGAGATCGTTTGCCTCTTGGTGCCACAGAAGAGACAGAAATGGAATATGGAATTGGGGAGGGGGTGAGAGCAGGAGACTAATCGTTAAGATCAGGGGATAGACAGGCAGGGAGGATCAATTTGTGACAAGAGGGCGTGCTGTTGTGGTAGACACCGTAGACACCTGGAATGCAGATACTGCCATTGACCCGTCCTTATCACGTCCATTATTTCTCGCTCAAGCATCTGAAACCTGAAACCTTGGTAGTGCAAGGATCTAGATCCGCCCAGAGCCACTCGCAGAAGAGTAATGGTGCAGAGAAGGGCGCAGTAGCAGTGTATATAATGAGAAGACATGTAATACGATGTTTCATATTTTTCTTCTGCACCTTTGCTTGCTTTGAGTGCCCCAAGTGTACCTTCCAGGCATCAGGTGTAGTAGGCTCCATTTAGTGGCTTTAGATGGTTTTAGTTCAAAAAAGTAAAGCCCCAAAAGAGGCATGACAGAAATTCTGTTGGGCACCATTCAGCTGTGAGCGCATCCACTGTCCAACTTATAGATCTAGAAGTCTACCTGGTGAGCACTGTGAGAAGCTTCAGGTTTGCATTGTTCGTTGTGGCGGCAGTTCCTGACTTGATGGATGGGGATGATGAAAGATCCTTCGGTGTGTGGAGAATTCAATCCGGAAAGCGCATGTACACAGCGTACCATGTCCACTTGGCTGCAAAGATGACTCTCCTGATATAGTTGAAAGCTGTACACGCCTGCTTGCAGATCGCAGTAGCATGGATCCAGAAAACATGTTTGTCAATACTCAATACATTTGTGAATGTATGCATGGCTTCCTATCTATGATTTCTCAACAGGGCCGAGTGATGTTGCATTCGTTCAGAACTTTGCGTTTTGAATCTTTGTTAGCTAAGAGGACTTAGCTCATATGCTCATTCTAGATTGAAAGGTCTTGCCGGTTGACTCTTTGACTTGATTTAATATCGCAATCTCTTACATCAGAATCATTTGTATTAGTGATGGTGGCAGAATCAAATGCCACGATAACAATCAAGCAGAAAAAACGTTGAAGAGTAGTTGTCTTGGACCCTTGAAATCCTGAGACAGATGTGGTCAAAACCCTGCCATAAGGTCATTTACTCCGCACCAATGGATATTCGCCGGAAACGTCCACTGATTGAGCCACGGAAGAACAAGGCAACAATGCTGAGAAAGCAGCGCCTCGGAGAATTTGAAAGGACAAACGTGGAGCAGTCGGACCGCGAACCTACACAAGGACCTACATCTGTCGATATACCATGACTGAAATGAAAAATATTGTGAAAAAGGCGATGAAAGCAGAAAGTACTGCGTTTTTGGAGAGCCTTTGCCTTCCTTTTTTGCCCCCTCATCTTTTCCGCCCATAATGCGGGGCCCTGCAGTTCCATGCATTGCCCTGGGCTTGTGCATCAGCGGTGTCCTTCTCACCAGGCTGACCTTTGCCTTCGACCTCACCGAAACATGCAGCAACCACCCATCATCCCTTGAAATTACAGTATATAATAGTATTATAATAGTGTATACATGGTTCCACTCATACCGGCAGTGCCTGTACGGGTATCTTGGACAAACAAACCAAATGCCACGTTTTTGAGGACATAGTATGGGAGAACAATTTGATACAGTTTCACTAGTGTCTACGGCGGTCCGTAAAGACTTTTTGTTATCCAACAACGTGTCTATGAGTCTATGATGGTCTACACTGAAATGATCCAATCGCATGGGAGCAGCTGCTCGGCGCATTTCTTGGTGTGAGAGTCTTCACAACGAGTCTTGCTCAAACCGTTTTGAAAAGACTTGCTGATTTAGGAGCCTCGACGGCATCGATCCTCGGAAGCAGTCAGAGTGCTTGGCAAAAGGGATCAAAGGGCAAGGTGAAGATGGAGGAAGATTTGAAATGGGGTCCCCCTCTCATCCTGCAAGAGCCATGGGCAAGAGCTTGCTAGATTTTCTCAGCTATGGCATACCTTCCAGTCTTCCACTGACCAACCTTATTGTGTCGAAGCAGCTTTCGGCTTTCTCACTTAATGCAGTATGCGGTATGCCGCTTCGTTCACCGGATGATCTACCAATCTACCTTTTCTCCTGAGTTGAATCGAACGATCCTGCGTTTAACATTGGTTTAGTGAACTACAAGCTTCTGGAAAACTGCACTACGGTCATGCACTTTCTTGCTCAGGACAAGATCGACAGCCCCTCTCCCACCGGCAGCAAGTCCCCTCGCACGCGCAGTGCCAGCCCTCCAAGAGGACGGGAAGATCGTCTCCCAATCACTTTGGGCAACCAAAGCAACTTGACGATTTGATCGTAAGTTTGGAAGACCCGTGATATTGTAGTTTAGTGCATTTTTTCCCCGAATGCATAGCGAAGGTTTCTCGTTTATGGGGCCCGGGGGTAGAGCGTTGTTCGCAAGCGGGCGCAATCGCAACCGTTTGAATGTGATTTCCTGGCTGCCGTTGGGGAAGCTTTTCAAGGAGGTTTTGGATGGAAGATTCCTGTGAAATAGCGTAGAAACGTAACATGTTGAAGTGTGGAGGATGATTTTGCTGCGGTGCGGTGCTCTTTTGGAGGTGTTGAGCGTCGCTGTGCCATTGGAATTTGCTTTTCAGGCCCCTCGAAATTGTGTTTACGTGACGGGTCTCAGATAAAATTGATGTGAGAGTAAAGCGTCGCAATCGAAGACGGGAAGATGTGATGTATAGGAACTATTCGCGCCAGCACTTTGTGCTTGTTGCAGGTGTTTTCGTGGCAGGCGCAGGGATTCGTGAGGTTGGGATGTCGCTGTGCCGTTGGGACTGGCGTGTCGCTTGAGCGGCTGGAGTTGCGAAACTGCTTGGCATGGCTGTTTGATGCACTCTCTTTGATCAGACTTCCCGCTTGTTGGAGGAAGCCTCACATGAAATGCTCAGTTTCGAGAGTTCTCAGTCTATTTTTTGGAGGAAGTCTCGTTCGAAAGGTTCGTTTTGGAGACTTGACGCGTGACTTTTGGAGGAATTCTTGTGCGGAGCGCTTGCTTGTTTTGGAGATTGCCACGTGACTTTGGAGGAGGCCGAAACGCTCGCTTTGGAGACCTAGACTTTTGGAGGACGCCCGGAATGTTTGTTTGAGCCTGGCGCTCCGGGCTTGGGACTGTGGGGTAGGTACGAAGGTGGCGCCGGGGGGCTTGGAAGTGGTATGCTGTAAGCCGAAAGTACGTCCTTGATGTCTCTGGGGTGGCGTGCCGCTGGTGAGCGGGATGACGCGTGTTATATCACTGTGTGCGAATTCCCGCATATATTTTCTAAATTCTACGTCATCCAAATGTGGTCACAAGAGTTTGCTACAAGAGCGGGCTACAAGACAAGAGTGTGGACAAAGAGTGCCGACCAGAGTGTCCCCCAAGAGGGCCCCACAAGAGCAATACAAGAGTGGCCCGTCACAAGAGTGATCTACAAGATTGCCTTGCAAGAGCATGCTACAAGAGCGCCGAGGGTGTCAAGTGTGTCCTACAAGAGTGGCCCTGAACAGAGTGCTCAACAACAGTGCCAAAAAAACAAAGAGTTTCCCACAAGAGTGTCTTGCAAGAGTGCCCCAAGAGTACCCTACAAGAGAGCGCTACAAGAGCACCCCCGAACAGTGCCCCACTAGAGTGTCCTACAAGAGTGCCCGACAAAAGTGTGCCACAAGACTGTTCCACAAGAGTGTCCTACAAGAGCGTCGCGCAAGTGCCCCACAAGAGTTTCCTACAATGGTGTCAAACAATGTTTGGCCGAATGTTTTCGAGTGCGTTATTATATATATTCACACTTGCACGTAGCTTGCGGGTGCAAGTTTTATGTTCACTGAAGTTCACAAAATGTCCCACCGGGACATTTTGGCTCAAGTTGGTGGCAATCGTCCACAGGATTGCACCTGAATTCTGGAGAAAAACTCGCTAGTACATCGGTTCTTGTTGAACACGACGCAATGGCGCACCCGATGGAAGAGGAGTACTCCATCATTGATGCCCCACCTTTGGCTCTGCCAGGTGATGATTGGGATTCGGCTACGGTCAGTAGCCTGGGCATTGAGAGCCTGGACCAGGCAGCTGATGCTGCGTCTACAGCCCTCCGTCACGCGGAGGCGGAAGGAGCTCGTGGACTTGCTGTTTTTGGGGAACCTGTCCTGGTTTCTGAACTCGACGCTCAAGAGCAGATTCGCCAGTTGGAGCGCCACATGCAAGGCCTCAAGGTCCAGATCGCCAACCAAGAAGATGCGGACATGGGCGTGGACCTCCTGGGCTGAACGACCCTGCTGATGGCGGCGCTGGTGGCCTCCCCGCTGCACCTGGTGCCTCTGGCCCAGCTGCGGGGGAGGTCGCAACTACTCCGGCGGTGGCGCCGACCTCGAGCTCTACTACACCTTCTGCAGCGGAGGCCCAGCCTGCGCTTTTGGCGACAATGGCGGAACCGCCAGTGGCTTGGCCTGTCTCGGTGGAGCCACGACCAGCCGCACCACCTCAGGAGATGGAGGAGGACGGCAGTGAGCGCGTGGGCTTAGGTTTTTCGCCCCCTGCACAGGCAGGGTATTCGGTAGACCCTCTCGACGCCATGGCGGCTGCTCCGGCGCCTTCTACACCTCCAGCGCGGGACCAAGCCCCTGAGCCTCCACGGCCGAGCAAGAGACCGATTCCACAGCCAATGGAGGAACCCACATCCAAGGCACCTACGTTGCCGGGCCTCAGGAGCGACAGCGGCTTCGATCCCCATGCCTATCCGGTTCATCCCGGTGCGGGAGCCTGCGAACCTCGCCATGTTCCCGGACGCTTTCCGGCCATCCCGGGCCACTTGGCGGGGCTCCTCACCTCGTGCACGGAGAAGGAGATGGTCCAGCTCTTTGACCAGTTCACGGGCTACCCCCTCACAACGCCAGTGGTCACTCGCATCATTGAGCAGTACATCCCCCTGCGGGCCTTGGCCATGCAGGAGAGGGTTTGGACACTGCAGAAATATCAGAAGGCCTCAGACAAGTCCGGCCTGACTGAGCATAGAGGCCTCCACCGGCCTGCAGGGGACGTTCCCTTCCAAATGCATGTCACCCTGGCCGGACAGCGCAACCAGGTGCTGGATTTGTAAACACGACCAAGCCATCGAGTACCAGCGGCCTACGTCCATCATGGAGGTCGGCGACCAGACCTGGACGCTGCTCTACGAGGCGGGCCGGCCGGTCTGGAGGCGAGCTGCTCCTGCCCAGTCTACCCCAGGTGCCCTTGGCCCTGAGGCGACAGGCATGGACCCAGATGCGGAGAGGCACTTCAAGTCCCCTCACGGGAAGTGATTTGGGCACTGGAGGAAGGCGCGGCGCTCGGCAGACCCCCGGGTGCCCCTGGCCCAGCAGCCCCGGCGCCTGCGGCCCCTGGCCGGGAGCGCCATGAGTAGCTGGACGCCTTCATCTTGGGCTTTGCCCGTTTCCAGCTGGGTTGCAGTGCTCGCTTCGATGACCTACAGCATGTCCGACCTGAGGAATTCCGGACTACCTCCAACACCATTGAGCTTCAGGCATGGCAGACTAAGGTGGCCCGCGCAGCCCGCATCCGCACGAAGCCAGTGCCGCTGATCTGCCCGAAGTACAGCTTCTCTGGAGCACCCTGGTACTTACAGTTTGTCTCCACGGTGCGGAAGCTCTCGGCGCTGAAGGCCTTCGAGGGCATGGACTATACCTCCTCCCCACGATCAGCAAGGACTTTGCGGGGTTGATCCCGCGCCCTTCGGGAGGTGATCAGGCCCTGCGGTGGGTCAAAGACGCCCTTCGACGTCGGGGGGGTGGCACAGGAACATGTCACACCCCTCACCTGGCACTCCTTCCGGGTCTTCATTCCGGACTGCGCCTTCCAGCTTGGGGTTCCCCGCTCAGAACGGCAGTACCTGGGGAACTGAGTCCACAGCTGACGTCTACAGGGAGAAGAGAAATGTCGTCACTGCCATTTGGACCAAGGTGGCCGACAAGGTGAACTCCATCAAGATGACACTGGGCAGGGAGCGCAGGGAGGACTTCAACCATGGGGACTGGGACGACCCAGTGACGGAGGTGGTGGACGCAGATGAGCGACCCCCACTCTCCCCACCACAGTCCTCACGACGCTCCATGGCTGCTACCCCGCCCCTGGACGCGGACTCTCCACAACCGGAAAGGTCACCCCTGGCACTACTGATTCTTGGGATGTTGTGGACGGTGATGACAATGGCTTGGGTCACTTCCTTGCCCAGGCCAGCGACTTGCCACAGGAGGTCGATCAAGCTGACCAGGATGACTCCTACCAGGTGATCAGCTCCAACACGGCACGGGGCCTGGAGAAACAACTTCGTGTCCACCTCCTTTGGAGGGTTTCTGCCTGGGCTGTGGTTGGCGCCCCAGAAGCACCCAGATGACCGTGCTGACACCAGGCGAGTATTGGGCCAACCCCATGGGCTATGGCAAGTGCACGCGGTGCTTTGCCAAGGGTGACCTCCCCCAGTCGTGGTTCGTGAGCCGCCATGGCTCAGTGGAGGGGAAGGACATTCCCGATCTTGAGGTGGGTACAGAGAGCTCGGCCACATCGGCCTCGGATACGGATGACTCTGTGGACACCCAGTCAGAAGCTGATGCCGTGCCACTGCCTAAGGTACTCCCAGTGGCATCAATCAAAGCGCATTTGGAAAAAGCCTGCGCGCAGCTTTTTGCGCTCTTGGGATCTTTTTGACTTCTGGGTACATATTCACACTTGCATGTAGCTTGCGGGTGCAAGTTTTATGTTCACTGAAGTTCACAAAATGTCCCACCGGGACATTTTGGCTCAAGTTGGTGGCAATCGTCCACAGGATTGCGCCTGAATTCTGGAGAAAACCCACCCAACCCGCCCTAGATGGCAGCAGCGCCTGGTGGTGCTGGTGGTGGGGGGGGGGCAGGCGGAACCAGTGAAACCCCCAACGGAAGCACCGGATGCCCTCCGACCATTTCTTGATCTCCTGACGAAACCGCTTGCTCTCATCTTGGTCGCAAAACAAATCCCCTGGGTGGCGCAGGCGAAATTGGCCCAGGAGGGCTATGTGACCGTGGAGGACTTAGGGGACCGTTGGAACACCCCAGAGGACTTGGAATTCCAAGACTGTGAGAACAACTTCAACCAGGCATCCTCCCGGTTTACCGCCATGCGCTTGCTTCAGGCGGTTCAAGCGGCCGAGTCGATGGCCCAGGCACAGCTCCACGTGGGTCGCACTGCGGCGACAGAACTCCCCGGCACGGCAAAGGGCCCTCTGGATAGCCTTTGTGACCGGAGGGTCTCTCCAACTGTCGCCGGGTCCGAGGTCCGGCCGGGTCTCTTCCTCATCTGCCCGGTCCCAGCCATCCACCGACACCTTGCGTGTGGTTTTGACGGGGCGTTCCCCATCCTCCGGAAGGGCCCCAACAATGTGTTTAGCCTGAATGTAGCCAAGCTCCCCAGCCGCAATGTGCTTGAACTGGCGTTTCAGGTACCCTGGCATTCGAGTCGTGGTTTGAGGCAGTTATATGCCTCGGCATAGGCGGTCTCCAAGAGAATGCACACGGTGTTCAGGACCACCTTGTTGATGTGCATTGCGGGTCAGCCGCAATTTGCCCACCTGAGACTGACCAAGGAAGCCTTGGATGAATGGTATGAGTGGTTTTACGGGGAAGACATCGCGGGTCGCCGACCCCCCCGTCGGAGCGAGTACTCCAGTTTGCGGAGCGCAATGCCTGGTGCAAGATTCATGACCTGGTCCACTCAGGCACCCCACTCACTGAGGCCCTATCCAAGCTCCGTCACGACCACCTCTTCTGGCAGAGGGATGTCTATGAAATACTGCAACAGTGCCCCACGAACCACGGGCTGGGCAAGTTGGCAAACCCAGTGGGACAAACCTGCCAAAGTCGGCAAAGACCAAGGCCGAAAAGGGACAAGGCCCACTCCTAAGGGAGGCAAGGGCAAGGCCCCAAAGGGCAAAGGCAAGGGCCAGTGGCCAGACGCATGGGCCTTCAAGGACCCCAAGGGGAAGGCCTTTTGCCGGGACTACCACTTGACGGGCACCTGCCCCGGCAGCTGTGGCCGTTCCCACAACTGTCCGGTCCGCCAAGGGGGCTGGGTGTGCAACGCGTCGCCGGACAAGCACACCCCGGATGAATGCCCACATGCCCCCAAGTGACGCCAGGTTGGTCCAGGTGCCCGTGGTCCTGCTCCACCTGCGTCCTCAGCCGAACTGCGCGTGGAACACGGTGTTCCACAGGGAGGACGGAAATGGTCCAGGTGCCTTGGGCCCTGTGCCATCCACACCACCCTCCAATGAACCGAGGCCTCGACTAAGTGCCCTTGGCCCGGATCAGCCCCACAAGGTGCACCGGGCAGCGGCGCCCAAGCCCACTCACTCACTCCACTCACTCACTCCACTCACTCACTCCACTCACTCACTCCACTCACTCACTCACTCACTCACTCATGCACGCACGCACGCACGCACGCACGCACGCACCCACCCACCCACGCACGCACGCACTCACGCACGCACGCACGCACTCACTCACGCACTCACTCACTCACCTCACTCACTCACTCACTCACTCACTCACTCCACTCACTCCACTCCACTCCACTCCACTCCACTCCACTCCACTCC